GTTTCAAAACTAGTTTCAGCCATCGATCGCTCTGGGATGATTGCAGGCACAGGACAGCAGCAGGCGATGCACTGCCAGTGCTATGAGAGTTCCCATCACACCGTGGAGGATTGTCAGGCGATGAGGGAGTCTTCCACCCCCCCAGGAGTAGGTGGACTTCATTGGCAATGTCAGGCACTTAGACTCCTACAGCAACACTTACAACGAGGGGTGGCGCCAGCATCCCAACTTCTCCTGGGGTGGGGCAAATTCTAGACCACCAGTCCCCCAGGGACCACCTGGCTTCCAGAGGCCTCCTTACCAGCCCAGAAAAGGGCAATTTCAACAGCCGCAGCAGCTTTTCTACCCGCCCAGACAGGGGCCAGCACCTGCAGCCCCAGTACAGTGTGACTCGATGGCGGAATTGCGAGATCTGGTGGGTTCTCTCGCCACATCCTGTGCAAACAAGTTCAATAACATCGAGCAGTTCATGGAGAAAGCTTCAGGTAAATTCTTGGAGCTAGAAGTTGGTCAGAGAAACACGGAGGCTGTGCTGCGGGATATCCAGACCCAGCTTGGGAAGGTTGCTCAGGCTGTATCTCAGAGGACACCTGTTACTCTACCGGCCAGGCCATCCCTCATCCGCAGGACCCAAATGAGCACTGACTCACTCCTACTGTCACTCTAGAAATTGGCCAAGTGTAACCACTTCCTAAAGCGTAGTATAGAGGGTTTGGGTTTTAATGTCAACCCGGGTCCTAGATTTGATGACTACTCGGTGAATTCTTGTTATCTAGCAGTGAAACTTTAGTGCAAATCCAAATTAACAAACAAACCAAGCAAGTTAAACTTTGTTTTCAAGTCGAGAGAGGTCACCCGGATATGGTTCCCTCTAGACTACAGTTATGCCGGATTGCAATTTACCAAGTTCAATTTCTATGATAGTTATACTGCGGAAGGTTCTTAAACAGTCTGAAGTCTCGACTAAAGGTCTCTAGACCCTCTCAATCTGAGTCTCTAGCGGGCGACTAACCTCCACCGGAGTAAACAGATTGAGGCCCTAACGAACAAAACCTCCACTACCGAAGTAAATTCGGTACATGATATTGAATTGGCTCATCGACTAAAGTCGCCAATTCACTACCTTCAATTAAGGATGCTCTATCAACGTAGGCAGATATTCTCATTCTAGGTTAAAGCAGAAACAACAGGAATTTGATCAGGATTCATGCCATTCAATCATTCAAACCTCAACTGAATATAATCAAATCATAGAATCTGTACTTGGGTTCATACAATCAGACCTAACATACAAATCTAGGGTTTCCCATACCCAGATGAATGGGAGAACTACTCCATGGAGAAAGAAGCAAAAGCAGATTCAGATGCGGAAACCATACTGTGAAGGATGGGTTTCAGCTCCTGGTTGTCGATCGGCACTTCTCCAAGCTCAAGCCGGGCTCCAATGGTGATGAAGATCAAGCTAGGGCACTTGGGAACTCTTGTTCGTCGCTTTCTCTCTCTAGAAATCGCTCTGTCTCTCTAAAACTCGAATCCTCCTCTCTTTTGGCTGAAATCTGCCTAAAAGGACATCACTGGGCAAAACACGGTCGAGGGCACGACCGTGTTTTGCTCCAGCCCGCATGTGCCCTTGCCACGTGGTAAATACACAGCCAGACTTTGGGGAAAACACGGGCGTGCTTTTTGATGGACACAGCCGTGTTTTGGGCCAGTCCCGCCCGTGTTTTGAGCTAGTGTTTGACAGTCTTGGATCAAGCCTCGGCAGTAAAAACACGGTCCAGGAACACGGCCATGCTTTGATTTAGGCGTGCCCGTGTTTTGGCTCCAACTCGACCGAATGACTTCCGAATGCCCCGAAACTCGTGCTTAGCCTTTCCTTCGACGCTTTGGACCTGAAATATGACAAAGTAGCACAACCCGTCGAAAAATAGGCCAAGAATACAGACTATGCCCCACTAACGGATAAGAACTAGGGGTTCAAATATGTGCAATTCCATCGTTATCAAGCACTGCAAGGCCATTACCACCAGGAGTGGCAAGATGACTACTGATCCACCTGTTCGGGCAAAAGAGAGTTTGTACCTGCTCCTAAACCGCAACCAGTGGTGAAGGAGTATGTACCCCAACTTCCCTTTCCTACTCGGTTGCACAAGGACCGACTGGAGACTGAGTTTGCCAAATTCATGGCAATGCTGAAGCAGGTACACATAAGCATGCCCTTCGTGGAGGCATTATCGAAGATGCCCTAGTATGCCAAGTTCATGAAGGATCTCCTCACCAACAAGAGGAAGCTTGGGAAGCTGTCAACGGTGATGCTCAACGAGGAGTGTTCTGCCATCCTGCAGAACAAACTACCAGAGAAGCGAAAAGACCCAGGGAGTTTTACTATCCCTTGCATGATTGGTAGTTTGCATATAGGGAAGTCCTTGGCGGATTTAGGCGCTGGCATAAATGTCATGCCATATAAACTGTTTAAAAAGCTAGGCCTAGGTTAACCCAGTGATTCTAGGATGAGCATTAAACTTGTTGATAGATCCATTGTGCATCCTAGGGCCATTCTCATATCCCGTTGATTTTGTGATTTTGGACATAAATGAGGATGTGGATGTGCCTTTAATATTTGGTAGACCTTTTCTCGCCACCTCCAAGGCGCTCATTGATATGAATGATGGGACATTGATTTTGCTAGCTGGGGGTGTACAAATCACCTTCCCTGTTTCTAATAATATGAAACACCCCCAGCTCCATGATGATCTAGACTATTGTGATGTTGTTGCTGATTTTGAGACCGCACTTGCCATCACGAGTGCGGGTACTGACGATTTCCTTGAGCGTTGTCTTTTGCTATGGGAACAGGCATCATAGGATGTGCAGCTGGAGGAGCAGCTCGCGGAGTAAGACGAGGCCGCAATCGAGGTGCAAGAGATACCATTCAAGCCGATCCCTATCTTGCCCCGGATCGCTACATCATTGGAGGATCCGCTAGAGTTGGAGCTTAAGCCCCTCCCCTCTCACCTGGAGTATGCATTTCTGCCGGAGGGGAATAAGCTCACGGTCATTATCAGCTCGGATCTGACACCCGAGTAGAAGAGCAGGCTGGTGGCTCTGCTGCAGAAGTATGCCCGGGCCATGGCATGGAAGATCACAGATATCAGAGGCATTAGCCCATGCCATGGCACCCGAGTAGAAAAAAGTCCCGACCTTTTTCGAAAATCAAACCACAACTCAAACCCACAAACTGGTTACTCCGGAGCAACCCAAACCACACTTTGAAATAAACAACTGACATTATTTAAGAACTTTAAACGAAAAGCCCCAACACTTGGGCAAAATCTCAAACTCAAACACTCGAAACGACTTAACATAGAATCTTGAACCTGGAATCACAAGTACATATGCTCATAATCATAATCATAAAATAACTTCCAAATTTTAACTCTAACTCTTCACCCAGCTCCTTGACATCTCACCAGTACTGGCATGGCCGCTCGCCTCATCTTACTTCTTCTCGGGATCCACTTCCGCTAACCCAACCTCAACCTGGTGAGTGAGAAGGGTTCAGTCTCGTCGTTACTTCCTAAGGTCTCTGCCCTTAGAAATCTCCTTACTAAAACACGTTATTAGCGTTTCCTTTCCTTAGATGAAATTCGTTCTCACTTTCATCCTTAATAACTCATTTCAACTTTAACTCATAGAGGTTCTCAACTTTTACCCTTGAATCATAGAAGTTCTCTACTACTACCTTAACTTATATACTTATTACTAGGGAATCACCGCGTTACGTATCGCCGTCCAGTGTCCCTATCCTCTAGGCAATGGTACTGTGTTACATATCGCTGTCCAGTCCATGCCCGGTCAACTACTGCGTTACGTATCGCCGTCCAGTAGTGACCTGACCATCTACCGCGTCCAGTAGTGGCCCAACCCCCCGGGGGTTCAATTACCATCAATCATACATCACATAAATAGCACAACGCGTACCTCCACCCTTATCGGCGGTGGGATGCCTCACACACATAATCACGCTTACTTGAAAATAACAAATATAACCGAATAAAAAAAAACATAAACTAAAAGACCTCGACGGAGATTTTACCCCCTTTACACTCACCTTATTAGCCGACCCTGATCGATCAAAACGACCCCTCTTTATTGCCAGTTGATCCATGCCATCGTCCGAGATTCCATGCTCAATCATCTTCTTTTGCAAATTCTCCTATTAAGTATTTAGGCAAAACTTAATACTCCTTTCTACAAGCGTAACTAATCAAACGACCTCAAATTTGGTTGATTCCAAAACCCAACTCCTCCATTTAACCTTTCCTAGACCTTTCTTTAAAATTATGGAAAATTATCTTTTTGCCCCAAATGGCAATTTATTAAATGGTACTCGGAATTCCTGGGTCTTAACAATTCGGCCCCAAATTTCCAGAATTGCTCAATTCAGTCCTCCATACCAATTTCCACTTTCTGATTTAAACATTTTAGTCCAAACGGCTTATTTCCAATCCGATACCCAAACATTCACTAATTGCAACTCACCCCAAGGCCTGGTCAATTACTTTATGACACGCAAACTTATTAAATTTACCAAATTGCTCCAACTCCTAAAAGACATGTACGCCCCTAACTATTCATCAAATTTATGAAACCCTGCCCTTGAACTCCAACAAAACGGGAGGTTGTTACCTCAATCCCGCCGTTGTCATCGACCTCCAAATCCCGGCCACCGTCAAGTTCCTCCTCCGGCTCCGGCTCCGGCCCCTCCTCCGGCTCGTCCTCATCTTCTTCCTCCTCGAACAGCCGTGCTCCGGCGATGGTCTCCGTGGAAACTCCGCCACCGCCATGCCCATCGCTCTTCCTCAGCCCACAATTGGGAGGCCAGCTCCGGATTGCAAACGCTCTCGGTCACTTCGGAGGGTAGACATGCATCCTCTCCGTCTCCCCTGCTCCATTAATCGCCTTGTAGACGCCTGGGAACAACGCGAACGTCGAAATCATCATCGAGATTTGTTGTCGCCACTACATTCCTGGGACCCCTTGCGCGTCCATGGATCGCCCGCCTTCCTCCTCTTCTCAGGAATCGCGTCGTCTTCTTCGTCGCAACGTCCTCGTTCAGCTCTTGCAATTTGAGCCCTGCTTTTCCTCAGCCGCCGCAGAGCGCCTTGTTCTCTATCCCCTCCCTTTTGTTTTGCTACTGAGCAAACGACTCCCATCTCCAATTAGAATCCCAAATAATTTCCACTTATTCCATCATTAATTGATACTTACGACCCCAAGTAATTGCTTCCGTTACTTCCATTTCCCTCGGTGACCTTCCGCCCCTGTTTGCCTTCCGCCGCTGCTCTGCCTTCCCCTCTTTCTTCTGTTGTTGATCGAACTCCACAGAGGAACAACCTCCTCCATTCTTCGCTTGGGCTTGGCCTGCCCCCTCCTCTCCTTTGTTGCGACCACGAGAACTGGGCTTAAGCCCCTATTCTCTCTCTTTTTTTTTTGTTTTTTTTATCCGGTCGAATTCCCCAGAGGAGAAACAACTCCTCCGTGCCAGCGGCCCTAGGCTCGTCTCTCTCTCTCTCTCTCTCTTTCTCTCGGGCCAAAGCCCTACTTCTTCCTTCTTCCATTTCGGACGGCAGGCCAGCCCCGTCCTTCCTTTCCTTCTCCGGGCCGCGAGTCCAGTCCACTCCTCCTTCCTCTCTTTTCTGCTCTCTAGACTGGGCCGCCAGCCTACTCAGGCCCATTCCTTTCCTTTTCCTCTCTTCTCCATCTCCTCCAAACCTCTCACTTAAGCCCACCTCCTCTATTTGCAAATGGGCCGCCCATGACAACCAAACCCAGGCCCACTCAGCCTAACTCTTTAACTTGGTCTTGTCCCAAGCTCAACACTTCGTCATTTTACGTCGAAATTCGACACCGTTCGAATCGATGGTTCACGCTTTTAGTCCTCATCAATATTACGGTGAAGCTTGACGAACTAATCCAAGGGTAAAATAGTCATTTTAAAATTTAGAAGGAGCGGGGTGTAACATTTCCCCCACCCTTATAAAAATTTCGTCCCTGAAAATTGCTCGGACTCACTCTCCCATACTCCTCATTCTTGTACTTCCTTGCCTCAAAAAAAAATTTACCCGTTATATGAACTTTGACGATGTCTGCTGCCTGTATCGTATAGTTTACCTCGCTTATCCTATTCCCTCTTGACCATAAGGGTATTCTCACCAAACTCGTTAGCATCGAGTAGCTTCGAATGGCTACTTGTCCCTCTTTAATTCCCAAGTTTGGGTCCAAGCGTGATTGGCCAAAATTTTAATCCAACTTATTGATGCAGCTCATTCAGTACTTACTATTGGATCTTAAATCGAAGACGTCGATGCATCACATTTCCTCCCCCCTTAAGAAAAATTTCGACCTCGAAATTTGTTCGTCGCGTTAGCTCAAAATCTTACCGGTGGTAATCCTTCTACTATAGGGATTTACACTTCCTTTACTTTCACAAGTCCTTTATCGATGCTTGGTTCTTGCTTTGATGCTCGAACTCAGTTCACTAGCTCCTCGTCATTCCTTCTCAAAAGTTCTACTTGCCTTCTTTGACATTTATCAGAACTCCCCTTTAACGTTCTACTTTCCTATCGTTCCTTGCCAGGCTTGATGACTTTCCTTAGACAAGTTTCGAGATTGTAACTCTTAACCTACCCGATTCCGGTGATACTCCTTGTGTCCCTTGTATTTTTGACCTCCCGTGGCTACCGTAAGTTGTAGGGTCTCTCGAATCTCTCCTCATTCGTTACATCATTTTTCTCGATGGTGGTCTCCTTCTTTCCCAAGTTTTATCATCATATCAGTTCCCCAGGTCCATTGTCCCTCTTCTTACAGGCCTGCCCCCTCCTCTCCTTTGTTGCGACCACGAGAGCTGGGCTTACGCGATTCCTGAGAAGAGGAGGAAGGCGGGCGATCCGTGGACGCGCAAGGGGTCCCAGGAATGCAGTGGCGACGAAAAATCTCGACGGTGACTTCGACGTTCGCGTTGTTCCCGGCGTCGACAAGGCGATTAATGGAGCAGGGGAGACGGAGAGGATGCAGGTCTACCCTCCGAAGCGACCGAGAGCGTTTGCAATCCGGAGCTGGCCTCCCAATTGTGGGCCGAGGAAGAGCGATCGACATGGAGGTGGCGGAGTTTCCACGGAGACCATCGCCGAAGCGTGGCTGTTCGAGGAGGAAGAAGATGAGGACGAGCCGGAGGAGGGGCCGGAGGAGGAGCCGGAGCCGGAGGAGGAACTCGACGGTGGCCGGGATTTGGAGGTCGACGACAACGGCGGGATTGAGGTAACAACCTCCCGTTTTGTTGGAGTTCAAGGGCAGGGTTTCATAAATTTGATGAATAGTTAGGGGCATACATGTCTTTTAGGAGTTGGAGCAATTTGGTAAATTTAATAAGTTTGGGTTCCGTAAAGTAATTGACCAGGCCTTGGGGTGAGTTGCAATTAGTGAATGTTTGGGTATCGGATTGGAAATAAGTCGTTTGGACTAAAATGTTTAAATCAGAAAGTGGAAATTGGTATGGAGGACTGAATTGAGCAATTCTGGAAATTTGGGGCCGAATTGTTAAGACCCAGGAATTCCGAGTACCATTTGGTAAATTGCCATATGCGGCAAAAAGGTAATTTTCCATAATTTTAAAGAAAGGTCTAGGAAAGGTTAAATGGAGGAGTTGGGTTTTGGAATCAACCAAATTTGAGGTAGTTTGATTAGTTACGCTTGTAGAAAGGAGTATTAAGTTTTGCCTAAATACTTAATAGGAGAATTTGCAAAAGGAGATGATTGAGCATGGAATCTCGGACGATGGCATGGATCAACCGGCAATAAAGAGGGGTCGTTTTGATCGATCAGGGTCGGCTAATAAGGTGAGTGTAAAGGGGTTAAAATCTCCGTCGAGGTCTTTTAGTTTATGTTTTTTTTTATTCAGTTATATTTGTTATTTTCAAGTAAGCGTGATTATGTGTGTTAGGCATCCCACCGCCTATAAGGGTGGAGGCACGCGTTGTGCGATTTATGTGATTTATGATTGATGGTAATTGAACCCCCTGGCGGTTGGGCCACTACTGGACGCGGTAGATGGTCAGGTCACTACTGGATGGCGATACGTAACGCAGTAGTTGACCGGGCATGGACTGGACGGCGATACGTAACGCAGTACAATTGCCTTGAGGATAGGGACACCGGACGGCGATACGTAACGCAGTGATTCCCTAGTAATAAGTATATAAGTTAAGGTAGTAGTAGAGAACTTCTATGATTTAAGGGTAAAAGTTGAGAACCTCTATGCGTTAAAGTTGAAATGAGTTATTAAGGATGAAAGTGAGAACGACTTTCATCTAAGGAAAGGAAACGCTAATAACGTGTTTTAGTAAGGAGATTTCTAAGGGCAGAGACCTTAGGAAGTAACGACGAGACTGACCCCTTCTCACTCACCAGGTTGAGGTTGGGTTAGCGGAAGTGGATCCCGAGAAGAAGTAAGATGAGGCGAGCGGCCATGCCAGTACTGGTGAGATGTCAAGGAGCTGGGTGAAGAGTTGGAGTTAAAATTTGGAAGTTATTTTACGATTATGATTATGAGTATATGTACTGGAGATTCCAGGTTCAAGATTCTGTGTTAAAGAAATTTTGAGTGTTTGAGTTTGAGATTTTGCCCAAGTATTGGGGCTTTTCGTTTAAAGTTCTTAAATAATGTCAGTTGTTTATTTCAAAATGTAGTTTGGGTTGCTCCGGAGTAATCGGTTTTTGGGTTTGAGTTGTGGTTTGATTTTCGAAAAAGGTCGGGACGTTACAGCCTAGACTCATCCGCTGGATCCTGCTTCTGTAGGAATTCGATATAGAGATCCGGGACAAGAAGGGAGCCGAGAATGTTTCTGCAAATCATCTTTCACGGTTTGAAGCCCCTCCGGTGGAGAACTTCGTGAAGGAGATCGATGACTCCTTCCCGAGTGAGCTATTGCTGGCGATGACATTGGTGGACAGCGTGGCCCCTTGGTATTCTAACTTTGCCAATTATCTGGTGGGCAAGCAGTTACCAAAGGGGATGGGCACTCATGCAAAGCGCAAGTTATTCTCTTACCTCTTTAGGATCGGAGCAGATGGCGTGATCCGGCGCTGTGTCATGGAGCACGAGAGACCGACTGGAGGTCACCATGGAGGAAACCGCACGGCGGGGAAGGTGCTACAGTCGGGCTTCTATTGGCCCTCATTCTTCAAGGATGCAGACACCTTCGCACGACAGTGCGACCGCTGCCAAAGGACAGGTAAAATTTCTTCCCGGGATGAGATGCCCCAACATATTTTTGTCATTTGTGAAATTTTTGATGTTTGGGGCATCGATTTCATGGGCCCATTCCCTCTATCCTTTGGCAATTTGTACATACTAGTTGCAGTGGACTACGTCTCGAGGTGGGAAGAAGCTCAAGCCATGCCCACCAATGATGCAAGACGGGTCTGCTCATTTCTGAAGCAGTTGTTCTCCCGGTTCGGGACACCTCGTGCCATCATAAGTTAAAGAGGAACCCATTTTCAAGGGCAATTCACTAACTCCTCTCTCGCTATGGTGTTAAGCATCAGGTGTCGGTGGCTTACCATCCCCAGTCGAATGGGCAAGCCGAGCTGACGAACCGGGAGCTGTCGAGCTACCAGAGCTGCTGATCAAGCTCGAGGACACTTAGTTCCTCTACTGGCATCCAGCTAAAAGACGGTAAAGAAGTGCTTGTGGGGAGGCAACCTCACCACGGTTTGCATTTCTGTCTTTTTTTCCTTTTCATTTTTTGTCGGTTTTTGAGTCTTTGAGTATGTCTGGAGTCTTTCTGGAATGTTTTTCGTGCCCCGGATGGTCTTTTTTTGTCTATGGTAGTGTCTATTTTCGAGCCGGGGCACGAATGGTTTCCGCTAATCGAAATTGCGGTTTAAAAATTGGAGAAAAGGGCTCTCGGCAGTTTAATTACGCGCAAGGGGGGACCAACTACTGTCATAATTTTCATGCCCCCTGCCCGTAATTATGCCAGAGGAGGAGAAGAGCCTCAACAGTGCAATTACGACCAGGATCCGACTAATTACGATCGTAATTTTGCCCGTAATTAGCATAGGGGGTAGTTGGCACGCGGGCCGCGGCCTTGCTATTACGGGCTGGAATGGGGAAATTACGGTCGTAATTCTGCCCATAATTGCCCCCTGATCT